AGGTTTGGTCCCCGGTCAAGGAGCACGCTGGAGGGAACCGCCCCGTGTTTCTTTCTTACACTATGTTTCTCTCCCTCTTTTTCTCCTTCCCTTCCCATCTCTCTGAAATCAGTAAGTATGTCTTCGGGTGAGGATAAAAAAATATAATATAAAATAAACATTAAGTGTGCCTTTTATGAAAATCGATCATGCCTTTGGTTTATCTATGTTATTATTTCAAAATAACTACTTTCAGTTTGTTCATTTCGATTAGAAATGGGCTTTCAATTTCACTTTTACTCTTCTTGTAATTTTCTTACCAGAACTACTCCTAGATTCAAGTAAGAGGGGGCCTGCTCATCACAATAAAAAAGTAAAAATAGAGGTATTAAAGATGATGTGGCTGTGACTGTCACTTTAGATGCAACCCACTTTGTAATACACAATATGTTCATTATGATTCAGTTCTATTTTTTAGTATCCATTATGATTTCTTCTGTGGCCCATGAGTTATTTAGAATCATGCCCCTGCATTTCCTGACTTGGAGGCTTTTTTTAGGAATCTGTTAATGATTTCTCTGCCGCACACACTTCAGAATGATTTCATCCGCAGGGTGAGAAGCACTTGTGGAGAGCTGCTCACAGCCTGATATGGATCCTGGCAGAGGAGGCCGGCCAGGGCACAGGGAAAGGGACGGGGCGTGGGGACCGTTTCTGCGACACTGGATCTCAGACCCCTGTTTTCACTCATTTCCAACAACTTTCGTTGTTGTTTTGTTCTTCTAACCTCCTACCTTTGTACCAAAGGCAGCACCTAATAATAATGCTTAGCACCTTATTTCCCGTCACTTAATATGTCTCCGACAAGTTCCCCTAAGTGTACACTGAAAGCCCTGACCTGGGGCTCAGTTGGATAAAGCATACTTGGGTACACCAAAGGTTGTGCGTTCGCTCCCGGTCAGGGAGCACTCCAGAGGCCGCTGATTGATGTTTCTAACATCAATACTTCCGTCTCTCTCTTTCTCTCTCTCTCTCTCTCTCCCTTACTCTCTAAATATATCCTCAGGTAAGAATTTAAGAGAGAGAAAGAGAGAACAGTGAAAGCTTCTTAATTCAGGTTAGAGCAGAACAATATTTCATCTCAAGAATGTAACATAACAAGTTCCTTTGATGAAAATTAGACTACCACACCTTCCCACTTTAATTTCCAGATCCTTCTTTAGATCCTCTTACTTTGTTCCATTCAACTAGGGACTTAAAAGAAAGTCTCACATTTTACAGAGCATGTGTAGATGTTTTAGAACACAGGATTTTCAGGTGACTCGGTAGCTGTACTGCTCAAAACGGAAGTCTACTCCAGGTGTTTCCCGCCTTCCATCAGCCCTTTTTTGGCAGCCCAGGCATTTTATCCTCATCTTTTCACCTCATGGTTGCAAACATCACAACCACATATCCAGATGCAGGACAGGAGAGATGGCTTTCTCCTTCCATAAGCAAAAACACAAAACAAAACAAAAAAACTTTGGTGGAAGAACACCCAAGTCATATACTTAAATCAGATTTGCCAAAGCCTAGCGACAGACTGACTATTCCTAGCTGTAAGAAAAGGTGGGAAAACTTGGCAGCAACGGAATCACCAAGATGCACTTAAGTCAACTGTGCTTTACTCCCAGGGGCTGGGTACTTAGCTACCCCAAAGAGCACTGTGACTCTGTTAATAGCAAAGAACTGTTAGGTGGTCAATGATCAGTAGATGCCACAATAGCTCAGATGGGATGAGAATAGAACTGTAAGCATCTGAGAGTGAAAAGTGATTTTAAGTAACAGTGATTCTTTCAGTTCAGTATAGATACTGCAAAAAGAAAAATGCCTTTGATGCCTCATCTAGGTATATTTTAATAAAACAGAAAGGCTCGATCCTGGGACAAATGACTCACACATTTCAGAACACAAAATTAAGGCACATCTTCAAAAACATTTTGCTACATTTTGTGAAGTTTCCAGAAGGCAAAGCTTTAATATTACCTAAAAGTTATAATAATTACTGACTACTTTTGAAAAAATAACTTCTGGAGGCTTTGTGATCTAACAGCATTACACAGCCTGAAATGTGAATCATGGTGTATCCTCTCAGCTGTCAAGATAAAGGAGAACCCAACTGATGAATTAAGCTGAGGCATTTAACCTTTTAGTAATAAAATACTTTCCAGACAACAAGCTTATAACAGTGACTACATGTACAGAAGTTGTAAAAGAGCATGCACCTCTATTCAATGTCTTTCTCATCAGACACATTCCTACTTCTTCTCAGTGACCACACACAGCAGGCGATATTGGTGCTTATTCATTTTCTCTTTATGAATTTTGGTGATTTCATTTCCCAAATATACAAAGAGTAAGTAATCAGAAAACAAAACTTTTCATATCTTTAAAAGTCTCTACAGAGATCAGATTTATCTCATATAATAAAAGATTACTCTTGCACTTCAATGTAGGGTTGCGTGAACATATTTTTTAACTTAGCACAAGTTTTCAAGATGCAACTATTTGTCGAAAAGTATTCAGAAAAGTTGTTTGGTAAAGAGCACCTGTCACCATTGGTCAGCTATGACTGTAAGTTAAGCTGCTGAGGCAGGTGGTTTATGAAGTCTGATTAGATTACTACAGGTAACTACATGGCTTACCTGGCCATTCTTGAAAGATCACAGATACCAGACCCGGAGGTTCTGGCTATGACCGAGTAAAACGTTAGTTACATCATGATCTTTCAGAAATCTACTCCCCAAATAAAACAGCTTCAAAGAGCAAGATGATGATTAACCTCAAATGCTTCAGGCCTAAAAGGGTGTGGGGAAGCCATGGGCAAAGAAGTGTTTGTTTGCACGCTGTCCACACACATATAGTTCCAATATAATCATTTCTCTCTGAAAAACTGCATAATCAAAATGAAATCTAATAGCAGAGAGGTATAGCAATGGTCCATTTCAATGCTCAAATCACTGTAGAAATTTATTATATCAAATGGTAACGTTTAATGAAAATGTGCCGTAAAGTCACCAGACTACTTGACCTCTGGTAAAATACGACTGGTGCAATGAAAACAAATGAGATGTGAAAGCAACTATAAACAGACTTTAACACAGCAATAGTCTTATCACTGTCTTTAAACTTTTATACTGATACATTTGTTGAGATTTCTCATATTCTTAGTGAATCAACAATTCACTCAGTAATATCACAATACAAAATGTTAAATCATGTAAGGAAAAATACAGTTGAAGTTAGAAAAATTACAAAATTTTCAATATGCCCCCAAATAGCATTTAGCTTAAAATTCCCAAGCAATGTGACCTGAGTACTCACTTCTATTCCACCTGACAATCTGAGTTCTCAAAGATGATGAATGGTTTTCATTCACCAAAAGAGTTACTCTCTGAATTCCCCACATTACTACAAAAACCAGCAACTATATTTAAATTTCTAGCTCTTGTCTCCCTTGTGACCGCTCTACCTTGCAAGCAGCAAATGGGTGTAGCGACAGAAGCCAAGGTGAGCACTATAGTTTGCAACATGCCCTGTCTCTAACAACCTGTCTGCCCTAACTCCATTAGTTATCAGCCTGGTACTCCCCGCTCCTGCCTAACCTATGCAGTCCTACCCAGAACAGCAAGAACATCAGATACGTACACCATGGCATGGAAATCTTTCACTATTTACCAATCAGGAGACACTTGGCAGTACATTAAAAAAAATAATAAAGCGGTAGAAATGTTCAAGGGGATTCCATTCTACATTTTCCTCCTAAAACTCTAATCAGTATTTCTCATCCATCTTTTTAATGTGTCCCATAAAACTTTCTAATAGATGCCCCTAGTTCTCACTTCACAAAAAAATCAGAATTCGTTAAGTGAGGTCTGTGTCCCCCAAATCTTCTCACCCTTCAAGATTAAGCAAAGTCTGCCAGCTATATAAAGCCACCTCTAGTGTGTCATGGTAAAAACCAATTTTTGTATTTTTCATACTTTCATTGCATGCATATGTCTATCTCTATCTCAATAGTCTTTAAATTCTATAAGGGCACAGACTTTGGTCATACCCATCTTTAAACCTTAGCTCCTACTATAGAGCAGGCATCATAAAATTAAATAGCATACTCACTAAAATAGGCATTGGCGGTTATGGAACCAAAAGAAAAAGAAAAAGATAAAAGAAAAAAAAACCAACAGGCCCAAGATCAACTCTCTCAGGCCAAAAAGTGTCATCCGTACCCATACTTGTGCATGTGATAAAATCACAAGACAAACGAGAAAAGGCATGTAGGTTCAAAATGCAGTCACTTTTTGGCTGATGTGGCTCAGTGGAGTGAGAACCAGCCCGTGATCCAAAAGGGCTGCTGGTTCAATTCCTGGTCATGGCACATGCCTATGATGCAGGCCAGGCCCCCAGTGGGGGGCATGGGAGAAGCAACTACCAATGCTTCTTTCTCTCCCTCCCTCTCTCTCTAAAAATAAATAAACAAAACCTAAAAAAATTATTTTTTCAAAAAGGACATCAAGAAATATTTCTTAAATAAACAAACAAATACATAAGGTCACTTTTCTATCAACCTAGAGTCCTCAGAGTATAATGTAAATGTACTCTGCTGCTCTGCTGTCTGTACTGACCGGTCATCCTGACCAATTCCATAGTTGGAGAAAATCTCATAGATGTCAATAGAGAAGCAACATCCTTATACAAGTACATTAAAAACAGGCTGAAGGTCTGGCCGGTGTGGCTCGGCTGGTTGGAGCATTGTTCTGTAACTCAAATGTCTGCGGTTCGATTACAGTCAGGGCACACACCTGGGTTTGCATGTCTGACCCCCTAGTTGGGGAGCCTATGAGAGGCAGCCAATCAATAGTTCTCGCATCTATGCTTCACTTTCTCTTTTCCTCTCTCCTCCCACCCTACCCCCAAAAATGTCCTCAGGTGAGGAAAGAAAACAAAGAACAGGCTGCAGATGCAGCCTCAGCTCTAATTACCTGTAATGCTCACTGATGGGAATATTCTGAGAGAAGTACAAAGCTGATGTCCGTGCTCTCCAATGCCACTTCTTCGCAGGAAGAGTATAAAGAACACAGTTTTCAAACTCTTCTCGGAGAAGGTCCACGAGCTGTTTATGGGACCCCCCATAGAATGCTTCGATGATAAGAGTACTCATTGGCCCTTTAAACGGTCACAGATTCTAGATAATAAGCAAAAAACATGTATTTTCAACTATGTATATACGTGCACAAAGATTTTTAAATAAAATAAGTGAACAGATTGTACCCAGAAATCAAATATAAATAATTTACGAACACATTTAAAAAAATAGGTTTTGCCCCCACTTGTTAAAATAAGAGGACATAAAGGATGCTCCAATTTTCCAATTTCTGTTTTCTTCATGCCCTGAGATTACTTCCACAGTGACTCAGTTTTTTCTCCTACTCTAGGAAGTTTAGATCCTTTCCTACTTGAAACGGCTTTGATCTGACTCACTAAACTTGGAACTGGCATGGCCTAGAGTGGCACCCAGTCTTGGACAGCCTCCCACTCCAACAGCCCTTCATTCGTAAGGCCCTTCCCAGCTCTGATGTTCTCTGATTCTGTAACTCTCATATCACTGTAGTTTGCCCCGTATAATGTAGCCACATTTTTGTGCCCATTATACATGGTATTATTGTTCCCATTATTATACTCATGGTATGTGATCATTATACCCATGTATAATGCACATCCTTATATTTCCCTCAAAAATGTGTGCCCAAACTGTGCATTGTACATGGCAAAATACAGTAATCCATTTTTTTAATGCAGCAGCTATCAAAGTCTCCAATGAATGCATATTTATAAGAAAGCACATTCATATTCAAATTTTAATTCTCTAGTGTCATAAATCTGAAGATATAATTTCTGGAGACACTGAACAAACCTTGATCACTTTCTCACAATTGTATATATCCCACTCCCAAAGAAAGACCACAAAATTGGAGTAAAGCTATACGCCTATTAACCAGCAAGGTTTCCACCACCCTTCTTTAAACAACAAATCCATAAAGGGAGATAAAGTAATGTTATTATGAAAAACATGGTAAATTTTTCATCACAGAGAAACTGGCTATCAAGAAAATTTTTATCTGAATAATGGGACTTTCATTAATGTGCTAGTGAAATAAAAATGTATGCATGAATATAAAAACTTTTATGTATATTTTAAATTATATGCTATTTCCTGTTAGAAGTAAGGAAGAAACATAAACACTACATTGTTTAAAAAATATTCCAGATGTTTGAATTTTCCTTTATGACAGAAGTAAATACCACTCATTAAATGGCAGATTGCTTTTCTTAATAATGTTTTTCTGCAAAATTATTAGTCTCAACAACTCAATGATGCTCTTCACTAATAAAACTGTACTTCACCTTGCTCAAAGCAATGCCTAAATTGTATTTCAAAGCAAAATGTCTCAAATGGTTCTCAAAAAAATGCCAGAAATGAATAAAAGCTTATTTCCTGATCTCTGAATCTCCCAATGAGCATTTTTTGGGAAAAATATACAAACACATATTTCAATTATCTGCAAAATAAGAAACAGTATTCTTCAGGTGGAAAAGGCATGAACCCCGGGATGAGGAACATACAAGTTTAAAGCTCAGTTCTGTCCCTTCCTGGATGTATGACCTTGGTCGAGCTACCTAACTTTGCAGGACTCACTATCACCTTCTCTAAAATGAGGACAACAATACTAACCACAGAGCTGGCTGTGAAGATGAAATTGAAGCCCAGTAGTCTATAGTCAGTAATAAGTATCTTTGCCCCTCTCGTTATGAGCATAAATTGTCTTACGTAAGGAGAATGAATACCTTCAAATCCTCCAGTAATTTTCGGTCATGACCCCCTTCCTATCCATCAAGGACAAGTGGGAAAGATGTACACATGCATCTCAAATGCAGTGGGGGTTACCCATTCCTCATTAGCAGCTTTCATTTCAAATATGATTTTAAAAGCCCCACAGGTTTTGTGGCTAAGAAGGAAGCTATGCAGAAGCTTAGCTATGCAGAGGCTTAATTTTTTTTCTGGCCAGTGGGAAACTTCAACTCTTAACATAGCTTTCACTAAGTTAAAAAATACTTCCACATTTAACAAAATTGTAGCCATTATTCCTTCAAACAATGAAAACTTCTAGAAAGTAACTAGAGAGAACAATAAAAGGCAATTCTGAAAATTGTATCAAAGGTTTCAAGGCAGAATAAAAGCAGTTGAACATTAATTTGCTTACTAGATCACAACACAGATATCTACTATCTTGCATTATTTCCTCTGACCTAACCACGCTAAGGTGTATATGCACCGTATACTCTTAAAAGGTTTCTAAAAGACTCTAGTAAAAATGTCCTGAGATATTTCCTCAAGTGATGAAATGTGATATTAAACCACTCTAAAGAATATTCCACTCATATAACCAACCTCAAAGAAAGCAACATCAATATTAGTGGAAGAAAAAAAGCTTCCTGATTCTTCATTATTTTGCCCTTTTCCATGATTAATCTAGAGCACATATTATACCATATAGTTACAGATGTTTCTGTGAGTCTGAATCATGAGTTATCTGCAAACTGTGGAGGCAGTATGTGTAGGTGCTGCTGTAGATTCAAGACAATCAGTAAGCAGAACTAACACCAAGCATGTGGGAGGTTGAAAAATAGAGAAGGGGAAAAAAGATTATAGCTATAGTAGATTTCCACCCCTTTAATAGCTCAGTAAGAAGAGTGAAATGTACAGGTTTGAACTAGCGTTTACTGGAGCATTTTGCTAGTGGCCAATGGGTGTGTCTGCATTTTGGGTATTTTTCTAGGGAAAGTAACTATGTCCTACCATCTCTGAAAACTATACTTAGTGGCTTTGATTCATGGAAATTTGTCCTGCTTGTTTTGCAGAGACAGCCCTACCCTGGCAGTTCACCCACTTACTTTTCTATTGCAATTTTTGTGGCAAGAAGAAAATGTGTTCTTCTTTTCTATGGTCGTCTTCTTAAAGCGCACCTGGAAGAGAGATGGTCCCCATTAGGTACAAGCAAAAAGCTGATTTTTAAACATAAGATTCAAGCCAAATGTCATTACAGCATGTTAATGAACAGTTCAAATACTAAAACTGTGCTTCATTTTGTTTTAGAAAATACTGCTTGAAACAAATAAGCATGAGGTTAAAAAAAGCTTTGTTAAAACAATGTTTTTCTGTTATGCTAGAATTTGCTAAAGGATAAAGGAAGTACATTATTTGCCATTTTAGCAATACTCTCAGAAAACTGCAATTGGTCACTCTCACAACACAGATGCTCACGGGCAAGTCGGGTGAATACAGACATTTTTGCACCACTAGCAATGGTTACTAGAGAGTGAGCCCTTGGGAGCAGCAGGAACAGGGCCTCAGCACTGAGAGTACTTACTCCAAAGCAAGCAGGGTCTCCTTTATGGCAGCGACCAAGTGTTTGTCAAAGATGGTGGGTGAGCCTGTCTGCAGACTAATGTCTTACATAGTTCAGAGAGTGAATAAATCTACTAAAGCATCAGCACACATACAATCAGATATTAAAGCTTGAAGCATTTAAATTGTGTAAGTCTATCCAAATAAGGGGTGTGGCATTTGAAAGGAAGAAACAGCAAAAGAAAAAAAAAAACTTACATTGGAAAACAAATACCAGTCCTTTCTGCATGACAATACAATGATATTTTATGATATTAAGAAAGAGTAAATGGCCAATCCATTCTTGCTCCCTATAACAGCATATAAAATATTTCACCAACTATTAAGTTTCTCTGCTTAAACAAGTAAGCTTCAGTTTTCTTAAAAAAAAAACAACTCATTTCCTCACCATATTTTATTCTTCAGTGACACCAATGAATGAGAATCTACTATACTATGGAGTTTAATTCATTATCAATACTATGATTTAATGATACATGGTTAAATGCTACACATTAAATTTGCAATATAAAATGAGTCAAAGTGACAGCTATAACATAGAAATTTTAAGTAACTTCAAATTCTATTTAAAACCACCAGAGGTCAAAATGAACTAAGAATTATCTACCTTTCCAAACAGCTTGTATTTATAATTAAAAGGGGATGGAAAGTGAAAAATCACAATAGCATTTCATACAAACATTTTGACTAAAATGAACAAGTTAAAATCATCTCAAAGAGAAACCGAAAATGTATTGATAAGATCGTTTAGAACAAAAGTGGCCTGAAACCAATGCTGTGAATATTTTTAAATTTTTATTAAAACTTTCTGTCATTGTACCTGCATTTATTTTCAGCTTGACCCAATTTCTTTATTCCCTGAGCCATGATCATTTTCAAGGTGAACTACATTTTTTTTTTGTCTACCTCCTCTAGTAGTTACAACTGCTGTGGTAGCTGAATATTTTTTAACAGTGTAGATAAAGGAAAATTGCAATATGTCATTGATTTATTGAAAAAGGTATGCTAAGTATAAATAAGTCATGTGGGCTTTTAAAAACGGATCCTAAATCACATTAGAAATGTGCAGTTAGCCCTTGTACATGATGTCAATTCTGTTACCTATAATATTTAAATAACTTTCCAACCAGACACCAAGTAAACTTTTTACATCAGAGGAATTGTTGTATTAACATATTCCACAGACACCTTACTGCTATTGGTTGCGGGAAGGTATAGTTTCAGTGATGATGGTTTTAACAGTTTTAATCCCACACACATGAGAAATTGATTCCACAGGTTAATATGTACATGGCTTGATACCTTAAATTTCTATCAATGGCTAAAAATGTATTTTCTATTTGTCTATATAAGATATTTGGAAAATTAAGCTTGGCAGAGCAAAAAAACAGTGAGCTTAAACACTAAATGCTTTAAAGCTGGGGAAAGTAAAATTTGAGTAGGATTTCCCAATAGGTCATCAGAGGTTTACCTGGTATTTTCTCACTGACCCCTTTCCTTCTGCACCTCCACCCACCAACTCCAACACACCAGGTTCTATTTTTAAAAAGCAGCTAATAACCCAGTCGAATAAAATAGGGCAGTACTGAGAAAAGTTAGTGTTACCTTCCAGCCTACTCAAATGATTCATCAGGGAAACCCCAGTTGTTAAAATATACCATAATTCTTATTAAATAGTAAGAAATAAGCATAAAAAAACTTTTGTTTTGAAATATGTCACCACTGATTCCCCTAACAGAACCCATGAAAGATGAGTATGTAGTAAAAATACATTCAGCTAAAAAAAAAAGGTTTCCTCAAAGTATTACACTACATTTAATTACTATATGGGGGGTGGGGGGGGACAGAGACAAATGCTATGACAAAGTTATTTTTTAAAAACTTCTAAAAATCAGGCACGGCAAATTCATCCTAATTCCTGAAACTTTGATGTAACCTCTGAAGACTGAAATATAATCTGGCTTCAAATGCGGAGTAATAACCTTGCAATCCCAAAACTATTGGCACTGGTAGTACTCTACATAATTAAAGTTTGGCTAATAGTAAGGAATGAATCAGATTCATGAGCACTAGTCTGAATTGAATAAAATGTATCATGAGAACTTATGATTATATTACTATTTGATTATAGGACGTACAACCTAAGGTGTATGATAACTTGTATACTACTATGTGTACTTAAATAGTAACATTAAAAAACTGGCTTCATAATGAATAAGATGCAGCTCTCTAATATTTTATTCCCCCACAATGTCATGGATGTTCATATTTCTTCAACTCTGACATTTGTTTCCTGCTGTGGTAACTAAGAACTAGGGATTTATGTAATAGTAAAAAGACTTAGAGCCATATTCTTTGGGAGACACTTTAAAACTACTTTAAAATGTACTTTTCCAATTATATGATTTGCAAGCTCTTTCCAAAATTTCAATCTGATGTTCATATATGGCATATTGCTTTTCTTAATAATGCTGTTCCACAAAATATATTAGTCTCAACAACTTGATAATGCTCTTCACTAATAAAACTGTACTTCACCTTGCTCAGTCAAAGCAATGCCTATCCCCAACACTTAGCAAACAGAAAGTGCTCAACAAGTATGCTATTTTGAAGTGTACTTTTCCAATTACACAATTTACACACTCTTCAAAATTGCAACTTGATCTGCATATAGGGCTATTTAATTTTCTCTAACAAATATTTTCATTCTTTCTCAATTTGGAATTTAACAGTTGCTTAAAAATATCACTTATTCCATGACTTGAATTAATACAAAGTCTTGGTAATGACTGTCAGTAACAAATGCAAATTCAACAAACAATTTCATGTACCTGCACTAAGACATCATCCACTAGTTTTCAAAGATACATAATTTCCACAACTAGATGTGTGTATATTACAATTTATTACCTTACATTTTGTAATTACCTGACATTCCATGTTACATAGCAAAATTATAACTATGAACATTTTTGTGAGTTTACTGGTTTAATTTCAGTGACAAAATACTAACCCTCTTTCAATTTGCCATTGCTATTAATTTTATAAAGTATTTCAAACTATAGCCCTGGCTGGTGTAGCTCAGTGGATTGAGTGTGGGCCTGTGAACCAAACAACCACGGTTTGATTCCCAGTCAGGGCACATGCCTGGGCTGCAGGCCAGTTCCCAGCGGGGGACACAAGAGAGGCAACCATACATCGATATTTCTCTCCCTCTCCTTCCCTTCCCCTCTAAAAATAAATTAAAAAAATCTTTTAAAAAAGAACTTCAAACTATAAAAGTAGCAATAATTAGTTCTACTGAATACTAAAAATACTTTCAATGTTCTGACATTTTAAAATGTGACAGTATATGTATGAATCCACAGAAAATTTTATACCAGAAAATCTCTCATTCACTCCTTTGAACTACCCTAATTACATTATGCTTTTAACTACAACTCCATGCTACCATACAATCTGGTTCCCATCACACCATTCACCAGAAGCCAGCCACAAATAACCTTCCAAAATGCAAATCTGATCTTAAAGTGGCATGCTCAAACATCTTCAATGTCTCTCCATCCCACATAAAGATAAAAACCCCAGGTCCTACATGATGCAGTTAATGCCTTCCTTTTCTGGCTCCTTCCTTCCTTTCCCTGTACTACAGCCTTGCTTCTCCTTCTCCCACTTCAATCCTCCTGCCCTCAGTTCCGCCTCCTCTTCATTGCAGCAATACCAAGCACTCACACTCATGCAGCTGTGCTACCCTCCTGTGACTTGAAACTTTTATCTCTTTTCCGTTAGCCTTCTCTTCGTGTTCACCTAATGAACTTTTCTTAAAATTTCTGCTCATGAATCATCAATTCTACGAAGCCTCTCCCTGAACTTCTCTTAAGCACAACTTCCTTTGTACTTTTGATAATAGTATCATTATACTTGCCTCACTCTATTTCCATGTCCTTCCATTGCCTATGACACTGCACGTATCTGGTGGATGGGGACCATATTATTTTCCTGGGGGCTATTCCACGATCTGGCATATAGTAAATGGCCCTAAGTTTTTGCAGAGCTGAACTGAAAATCGGGGGGAAAATAACATTGCTTTCACTTAGCACAGGTCCCAAGACTGCACTGTATTTGTTCCTAGTGATTTCCGAAGTCCAAACTAAATCGGCAGTCAGCACATCCAAACATACCTTTATTATATGAGGGGGAACCAAAAAAATGGGGTTTGTTTATAAAAAGTTGTGTATTTATTCTTACATGTTTAAACTTCAGTCACTGCAAAGTACTCTCCATTTGATGCAATACTCCTATCAAGATGCTTTTTCCACTGCTCAGAACAGTTTTTGAGCCTGTCATTTTGATTCCTTTTAGTGTTTCTGCCATTCTCTGTTTCACCTTCCACACTGGCAAAATGTTTTCCTTGGAGGAATTTTTTTCATCCATGGAAACAAAAAAAATGTTGCTTGGGGAGACATTATGACATGGGCAAATGTGTTCAAAAAACCTTTTAAAAAATTCACTGAAGCCAAACACAGCCTCTCACAACAATGCCAGCTGGTACAGATGG